ATATATATATATATATATATATATATATATGTGTGTGTGTGTGTGTGTGTGTGTGTGTGTGTATGTATATAGGTGAAAGATCGTGTGAGAATGAGAGTTAAGATGAGAAGCGTAAATAGACCCTTGATCACATTTTATCTCAAACTCATACATGAATCGTGCTTGGTATGAGGATTAACCCGGTGTATCTCATCTTAATGTGCATTAAAGAGTGAAGATTCTTTATCACGTTTTTCATTTTAACTCTGCTTCTCACATGAACTCAATCTTATATAGATATGTGTGTATAGGCATTCGATCAAACGTAGACCTCCTAATTTGTACAAACCACGCAAACCTTATTAAGTCAATTATAATTTTCCTTTTTTTCCACATCTTTTAATTATGAGGGTTAATTAGTCATTTTCATTGTGGAACTTTGATCATGGACATTATCATCTTCATTATATTAATTTTAAAAAACAAAGTCCATCAAAATGAGAAATACATGAAACAATTTCGTTATATGAAACAATTTCATCAAGAAAATAATTATCTGAAACAATTTCGATAAATTAAACAATAAAATCAATGGATAAAAATGGTTTGTACGAGTTGTACAAATGACTTGATTTGCAAACTAAACCACCCTTATATATATGTGTGTGTATATATATCTATAGAGAGAGAGAGAGATCATTTAGGAACCCAGAGAATTATGATAACCTTACAAATCAGTGCATCATATGTTATTTCAAATGATTTTTTCATCTACAGTTTGAATTTAATGTATTAATTAACATATATTTGTTTTACAATGAGAATCTTTTATGTTCTTATGAAACAAAAAATACAACTTATAAGTTTCACATTATAAACCAAATACATATAAAACAAACTGAAACTTTTACGACCCGTGAAATTTTGGTCAACAGGTATTAAATATAGTAAAATATTATTGATGTTTACAACTTTTTCTTGAAGCAGTTAAGCTTATAAAGAAAATTGGTACATGTAAAACATCAATAGTGTTTTTAGATAATGATTTTTTAAAAATAATCTTGTTCGCAAAGTTAACTTTAGAATTTGGATAGGATATTTCTGTATGTCATCTCTAAAACCCCATGAAAATAATTGACACAAATATTATAATTGTAACATCTTAGGTCAACCATATTATTTATTAACTGTTTTATTTACACATCTAGACTTACGGCTTTAAAATTCTCTTCCCAGTTGTGGGATCTTACGATTCACCACCCTTGGGAAGCCAGCGTCCTTGTCAGGGACGGACCTACTTTGATGGTATAGATGGCACGTGTCACCGTATTATTCCTCCGTCAAAGGGTTAAAAAATTTAGGTTTGTGAAATGTGCAACTGTATTAATTTGTTGAATGTCACCGTATGTATTTTGAAACTACAATGAGAACAAGTTTTATTTGGTATAGTTGGTTTGTAAGACTTTTATTCCATTTCATACCCAAGTTCGAATTATGTTAGTGTCATTTCTTATTCACATGGTGTCACCGTTTGAATTTTTTTTCCGTATATTTGTTTCTTATAGTCAAACGGTGCCAGCATTTGAAAAAATTTCCCTATATTTTTTTTCTTATAGTCAAATGATGTCATCGTTTGAAATTTTTTCTCTATATTTTTTTTTCTTATAGTCAAATGGTGTCACCGTTCGAAAAAAAAAATTGGGTTCGTCCCTGGTCCTTGCTGTCGTACCAATTCGATTCCCGCTTCTAATACCATCTGTAACATCTCAGTTCAATCGTACAAGATATTATCCGTTTTATCCACACATCTAAATCCATGATTCTAATACATGTCTAATAAAGAACAGTCTCTTATAAAACAACCTTAATTTCCCTTCTTAACCGATGTAGTTTTTTACAACAATTAAACAAAATATATATATGCACCCAATTTAAAATAATGAAAGCTTCCAATGATTGGAAATCCATTGATACCATGCACGCTTTTCTCCATTTTTTTAATTATCATCCACTTAAAATAATTTCAAATATTAAATTGAATCCTTCAAAACAGGGGACAAGAAACCCCCCCTACTTTGACTAATTAATTACCCACTTTTGACCTATCATTTTTTAAAATTAATTAACCATTTAAAAATAATAAGAAGTCGCTGGTTTACATTAAATCATGTATAAATAAAAGTAACGTTTCATTTGGCCCTACATTAAAAAGCGTTTGGTTTTTAATAATTCAACCTATATAAAAGTAAAAATTCCAACTGTACAAAAAGCAAGAGGTATATGTAAATTTTTATATGTAATATATAAATATTATATACTTAAAAGACTAAAAATTTTACTTTAAAAGGAAAAAAGAAGTTACGTTGTAGCAATTAAAAGAATCCTTTTGTGAAATCTGGTTCGACGGAATCAGATAAAATTGGAATAACATATTCATTAACCCAATTACACCAGCTTCTTTGATTTGCAAAATAAGAAAATTTATTTAGATGGAGGAATTTCACTGTTCATGCAGATATCTGATACAATTTAATTGTATTTTTCTATAGATTATTGAAAGACAAAGCTTCCAAGTGATAAGCCCGTTCGATTAATACTTGGTGTATTATTGTTCTTTCTATTATAAATTGTAAATGGTAATTAAAACAATTTTATTGGTATTTATAATTAAATTTTAAATATGTGTTTATAAATCAAGCAATAATTAATATCATTATTTATATTACAGTTCCAAAACCATGTATTTTTGCAAATTAAACAAGACGTTCAAATGAATAAAACTGAATTTCACTTAAATCGTCTTCAATCAGATATGTCGTTATAATCATATTCCAAATCTTTCATATTACAATTTATTTGACATGTTCATTTCATTTCAAAAATATTATACCAATCGGGTGTCACCCTAACTTTTGTGGTCATTTACGATAACGTTCTTGATGTTCAATTCATTTACA